GACCACGGTCTGCATCTTATTCGCGAGAAATACGTTAAAATTCTAGACATACTTGGAAAGATTAGACAAATGAACAACGATGAAGCCCAAAGGCAGTCTATAGTTGACCAACTGAAGGGACTATTTGCCTCTGAAGAAGACCTTAAAGTAGTCCTTTCCACTATCGAGAATAGAGAGCCAATTGCAGCTGAAAAAAGCATGCAGAAGTACGTGATTAGTGCAGTGCACTATATGGCAAACAGCACAGACCTCTTGGGCGGAACAGGCGAGCCAAAGACCCTAAAACTTAGGAAAAATCGGAGTGATTTTGTAAGCGACTTCACAGCACTTAATGAAAAATTAGAGAAAAAAGTGAGCGCAGAAATTACTAGATTAGAAGCAGAAGAAGGAGCATCAGAAGCAGAAACAAAATCACTGGAGCAGAAGATAAAAAAAGAAAAATCACAATACGAAAACATTCTTTTTCTTCAAAAAAACTTGCGCTCTTTAAATGACTTAAGCCAAGTCCAGGTAGACTACTTGCACAAGAAAATGGAAGAATCTTTGGAAGCAGAGAATGCGAGAATAAAAGGACAGCTATTCTCAGCACCTACAAAAAGAAAGATAGTTTCAGCCCTAAAGATTGTAGTGTTTGTGTCTCTAGTTGTTCTTCTTATAGTACTAACAGTAGTCCTTGGCTACAAAATAGAGAACAGAATGAAAAGCACCAACAACTAACTCAATAGTCACTAGCATAAAATGACTACACTGCACAGTGAACATTCTCTAGAGCACCACTAGCCGTGCTCTCTTAAGCTACCTAGCCCTATCTACCTGACTATCCAGTCAACAGTACAATAAACTGCACTTATTCTTACTCTTACCTTCTTTCTCCACTGCCAATGAGCACTTCTTCTCTTTACACTACCAGCACCCCTTCTCTCTTCTCCTCCACTTACTCTCCCTCTCATCTACTCTCATCTCCTTTGTTCACTAAGTCCTTTCCTGTGCAGTGCGAAATAAAACTCTCCAAAATAAAACACAAGAAATAAAACTGTACTAGCTCTCTTTACTCTCTGTACTATTTATTTTATTTTATTATTTTATTTATTTCATTTTGTTTTCTGTACAGTACTGCACTTATTTAAATTTGTTTGCACTCTGCGCTCTGAGCCTGCATCTGCTGCAGCCCGCTGCCACAAGGTCAGTGCAGAGCAGGTAGATGCACAGCAGTGGTGCCACACATCTGTCTTTGGCCTGTTTCCCTTACCGACACATACACAAGCTAGATTAGAAATAGAGGTTATGACACATTTATTCTACAAAGGAGAAGGACTGAGACACAACAGATAGCTGGTACTGACAGAGGCCCACTAAATTTGTCTCTATCCTCAAGCTATATCTACTGATCAATCACCGCACAGATACACTGGCCAATAGAGCACTGCAATTAACTCGTGCAAACACAGCAAATGAAGCAGTTAGTGCCTAGTAGACCAGTCATTCACTCTTGGAATTCTCGGGCAATCATTGATAATAACAGTGCCAGTAGAATGAATAACTCATCAAATTAAAATACTTTCTCAATTAAAACTTTTATAATGAACACAAAAGAAGTTAAAATAAAGATACATGTGCAGAGAGTGATAGAAAGATGCATGTCTGGCACAGGCACAAACGGAATGCACCAGTGCAATAGTCCAAAAGACTACACAGATCTGATAGACCATATATTTAAAGATACTATCGAGATAGTAAGCGGTGCAGACGGCGACAGAGAAAAAGAGCTGATTTTGAACATACTTAACAATAGAGTACGAGAATACTTTTCATGGATATTTGGAAAATATGACATATATAATTTATGCAAGGCACTGAAGGATGAAAAACAAGAGAAAGCAAGAAAACATTCCATCAGCATAATCAATGCACTTATAGAGCCAAACACATTTATATACAACCCTCAGGATGGAATACACATACAGCCTAGAAGGGATAATATATCTCGAGACTATGTGTTCACAGGAGATAAACTACCTGCTCTACATCCAAAAACATGGACTCTGGAGATGGATTGCACTGACTCTTCAACCTTAGAAAGAAGGCTGCAGTTTACCGCAGAGAGCATGGAGAGAGATCTTTTCTACCATTTTTCATACTTACTCTTCTCAGAGCACTCAAAGTATATCCCAAGAAATGAGTACAAAGACACAAATATTTTAAAAAAATACTTACTGCAGAAAAAGAAGTATTCTATACACGACCTTTATACCCTGCGCGCAGACGATGGCACACTGCTGGTGGACTACGGGCTGAAGCTCATATACAACAAATACTACGAGATTAAAGAGCTATGTGAGACCGTTGAAAAGATGAAGGCTAACTCTAGTATCAGAGAGATGATACTTAGAAAAATTAGCAAAGTACTCGCTGAAGAAGAGCTAAGAATAGTCACTTCCATCATTGACAACATATATGAAATAAAAAATGAAAAGTACACACAGAAGGGCATGATTGATGCAATAGAGTACATAGCAGATAAAAAGGATATGCCAAAAGTACTGAGTATAAACAGTGACCTAAGTAACTTTAGAGAAGACTATTTAGATGAAAATGGAGTTTTGACAGAGAAAGTGAATGAAAGAAAAGATAGTATAAATAGAGAAATAGAAGCAATAGAAACAAATCGAAATAATAAAAAAGAGACACTTGCACAGGCATGGAGAGAGAGAAAGAGCAAAAAAGAGATTGAAGAGCTACAGTATTCGATTAATGAACTAAACTACAAAATTTATTTGTTAGAATATAAGACAAGAAAAGAAAAAGAGCACTTTCACAATATTGACTTCAATATGAATTACTATTACACCTTAGAGTCAGTCCAACTAAAGCATATTCTCAAAAAGATAGGAGAATTAGCGCTAAGGAAGAAAATAGAGCTAAGAGTAACAGAAATCTTCACCATAAGAATAACTAGCAGACAGTTGGCTTATATTTCTATAGTGTTGACAGTAGTGCTTATAACGCTGGGAATACTATTCTCAGGCTATATCCTAGACAATGAAATAAAAGTTGGCCGAATAATCAGCCGCTGAGAAACAGTGAATGCTTCAAAAATAAACTAAACATACACTACACAGTCTACACTTTCATCTTTTCTCTGCAGCACTGCACAAGAGCACTCTACAATCCAGTACAGCACAAACCACCCTAAAACACGCTCTAATGGCAATAATCAGTGTCTGCGCATGGATCTAGTCAATCACTGAATGTTCTTGATCAAACCCACAATAACAATATATAGTCAGTATAGCACTTGCCCAGTACGCATAAATACACTAGCTAGGGGTGCTCTCTGCTCAGTCAGCCAGTCAACTGCTCTCCAAATGCTCAGCCAATGAGCTGCAATAAAAGCACCAATAGAATGAATAGCTTAGCAAATTAAAAGACTTTCTGCAATTAAAATTTTTATAACGGATAAATGAGAGAAGTCAAATTAGTGATAGATATAAAAAGAATAGTAGAAGCATGTTTGACCATGAAAAGTAAGAATGACATGAAGGCAGATATTGAATGTGATAATACTGTAGGTCGTTTAGCTATTCTCAAGCACATGCTCAAAGACAATCTGAAAATAGAGGACAGCTCATATAGTGCTGACGATAATCAACACATCATAGAAGCAGTTGAAAATGATATTTGCCAATGTTTTATATACAGATATCCTCGGGTTATAATTAGATTAAATAATGCAATAAACAATAAAGAAAAAGATGAAATAATCAGATCGTATGCCATCGAGTTAGCCAATGAACTTATAGAACTGAACCCCCTTGTATACAACCCAGAGCATGGGATAAATAGAAAGACTGAAACAGTGGAGAAAATAAAGTCGGATACCAGCGATGATGCTCTAGGCACCAGAACATGCACACTAGAGATCGATGATGAAAAGTTTTTCAATCTGAAAAGCATGGCTGAATATACTGCAAAGAGTTTAGACAGATATGTCTTGTACTCTGTATCCTATTTTATAGATTCAATGGGCATGCTTTTTTTAAAATTATTTCCACTTATAAAAGAATACTACACTCTAGATTACCTCTATGCTGAAAAAGATGAAAAGACTAATTTACTACTGGTTGACCATGGGCTGGGCCTTATTCACAAAAAATACCATAAAATAAGAGAGATAATTGAAAAGCTTAAAAAAGTAGGAAAAGATGACGAAGCTCAAAAGCAATCTATAATTGATGAACTGAAGGGATTGTTTGACTCTGAAGAAGACTTTAAAGTAGTCCTTTCTATTATCAAAAATATAAGGCGAATTTTAAATGAAAAAAGCGTACAGAAGTGTATGGTTGATATAGTAGAGTACATGTTTAACAATACTAATCTTTTGGATAAAACAGATGAGAAAAACGCTTTGAAACTTGAAAAAGATTTAAGTAATTTTTTAAGTGTCTTTATAAGAGTTGATGGCAGACTACAGCAAAAAGTAAAAGAAAGAATTGCTAAATTAAGAGCAGAAAAAGGAGCATCAGAAGCAGAAACAAAATTAATTGGTTGGAAACTAAAAAAAGAAGAATCACTACTACAAGATGGCATTGTTTTTCTTCAAGATAATAGGCATTTTTTACGTAGCTTAAGCAAAGCTCAAGTAGACTACTTATACAAGAAAATAAAAGAAACTTTAGAAGCTCAGAATCCGAAAGCAAAAGAACTAGAAAAACCAGAAGAAGTAGTAAAAGCGCCAGAAGCAAAGCTCAATAAAATATTCCAGTTATTAACAGGATTTGGAGAACAGCCAGAGCCAGAGATGCAGGCACATACACCCCCACATTCACCAGTCAACAAGCAGCCACCATTCGA